GATGGTGTAGGATTGATAAGAAACACCAGCATTTTTCATGAAAACCCTTAAAAAGGGGGAAAAACCATGGCACTTGGTCTAATTTGAATGAATACATTAGTATTTGCAGTCAATTACAAATGAGGCCCTTCCTTATGAGAAGGCCTTAGCTTAATGTCACAAATATACATCATATAGAGCGTATTACATGGTGGGAGTTACATAAACATGTTTGTTTGATCGGTAGGACCATAATCGATGGGATAGAGGTTGGAAAGGTCGTAGTAGTCAGGAGACCAAGGTCAGAAAGATCGTTGTCTAGCAATGGAGGTCGAAAAGACCGTAGTAGGCGATGGAGGTCGGAAGGAGATAGGGGTAAAAAAAAACCATAGTTGGTAGGAGATCGGGGTCAGAAAGAGCGTAGTAGTAGGGCGATACTCTGGTAGAACTCTAGGTGCCAGGTGGTGGCCCGACAGAAGCCCGAGTGTCAGGTGGTGGTCTGATAGAACTCCGGGCATCAAGTGATGGCCTGACAGAACTTTGGGCATCAGTTGGTGGTCTGGCAGAAGTCCGGGAGATGGTGGTCTGACGGAAGTCCGGACTTCAGGCAGTGGTTCTGCAAAAGTTCGGGCCTTAGGTGGTTGTCTAGTAGAACTCAAGGCCTCAAGTGATGGTCCGAAGGAGGTGAGAGCCTTAAGTAGTGGTCTGACGGAGGTGAGGGCCTCAAGTGGTGGTTCGGTGAAGGCGAGGGGCCTCAAGTAATGGTCAGGCAGAGCGACGACATCAAGCGGAGGTCCGATGGAACTCAAGTAGTGGTCGAGGAGGAGCAAGGAGAGGCAAGAGCGATCTCCGATCTCTCTCTTGAATCCTTTGGCTTTGGGCCCTTTTTCAAGAGAAAAGGGGCTCTATTTATAGATTTTCTAGAGTGTCATGACCCGTAAATAGAAGGAGGATCAAGGGCAAATCAGGAGAGGCTTGGATGGACTGCCGATGTTGAATCCCTTGATCATGGATGATTCGCTAGACATTTGAAGGTTTTAATGATGTCAGAGTTTTTCGATCTTAGGCTTGTTGGATTTGTCTCGTTGAGTCGCTCGATTCGACTGTAAGCATGTTATGTTTGGAATCCGTTTGGTAATCCAAATTGTGGTTTTAACCTTCCAATAGTGCTTCGGGTCCTCGATTCGGACCCATTTGGGCTCGGATTGAGTCAATTTTAGTGTCGCTGGGTTTGTATTTCTGAGACGTTCAGTTCGACTATAAGTTTATTGAAATCGGAGATCAGATGGTCCCAATTTTAATTTTAGAAGTTTCCAACTTGATTTTGCCTAGAGATTCGTGCTCGATCGACATAATTGTTTGGTGATATATCAAGTTTATTTTTAAAATTTATTGATCTTTTACTAATATTATGATCACATAAATAATATATATTTGATATAATTTTATCATTTTGAAAGAAAAAAAATAACTCGGCCTTTGTTTATGACAACTTTTTTACTGCTTTACTTTTTAGAACACAACCACAATTTCAGCTTGGTTGATGCTTTTTAATTGTTTTTAAAAAGTTTTTGCTCTAAGAAGCTGCTTTTTATTACAATTTTTAAAAGATATAGGCTTTGTTTGAGACGGTTTTTTTATTGCTTCTAAAAACTAAATTTTAGTATAAAAATTATACTAAATTTTATTTTGAGAAGCAATAAAAAAACCGTTACAAACAAAGTCTTACTTTGTACATTGAAGTTTTACAATCATCATCACCTTTACAAAATTTGCACGCACAAAAATTCCACGTTTATTTATGATGTTCTCATAAATAAAAAAAATCTTTCAACCTTTTTCTTTAATCCCCTTAAAGATTAAACTTCTAAGTTCTAACAATTAAAAAAATATTAAAAATCGTACAAACTAAATTCAACACTGAACTACTTTTATTCTTGCGTGCATGTTCTTTTCTCCATGCTTCCATTTGGAGAATAATTTCAGCTAGGTCAAAATATGTTATTTTTTCTCTTTTTGAATTTTTCACATAAAATATCTCATTGTCTATTTGGAACCGCTTCCGACTTATTTTATATCTGCATGCAAAAATTTGTATAATATTAAGCCAATTTTTTTTCTCTTTTCGTGAATAATTTACCACGCAATAATAAACATTATAGTATTCTAAATAACCTTTAATTTATAAAATATAGCACCTTAAAAAAAAATTATAAGAAGAAAATAATAAAATTGTATATATATATATTGCAATTGAATTCCAATTAAAGCTTTTAGCAAATTATGTGGACAATATGCAATTTTAGGAATGTTTTGGACTTTTATGCTTTCACTTGTTATTAATATAAAAGTAATGGTTGTTCAGCTCACTCATTCAAATAATAAATTTTAATTTTTACATTTTTGCATTTAAAAATGTGTAATTCTATATTAATGTTTAATGTTGATAATTTTTTTAGTCATCAAAATTACATAATTAAAATTGCATTATTTAGATTACCTAAGCTTTACTAAGTTTGTTTAGATTATCTTGAGCAAGAGGCAACAACAAATAAGACACTTCTTAGTCTTATCTCTGTTATATAAAGCAAGTATCATTTAAATATCATCTAAATTATTTTCTTTAAAAGCATAATTGGTATTTTCTTTTTAAACCTATTTATTTATTTTTCATTTACTATCTAACAAAATTTGTAGACTTAAGCTTTGTTTGGGACAATTTTTTTGTTACTTTTTAAAATAAATTTTTAGTACCATAATTTCTAATTCATGAAATTTTCGTAGTAAAAAATTATATTTAAAAGAAGAAAAAAACATGTCCCAAATGAAGCCTCAAATTCACACTATTGTCTATAAGGGTGTCAATTTCGGGCCACGGGTCGGGTTCGGGTCGAACCCGGGTTCAAATGGGTCGACCCTAACCCAACCCGGATAGGTAAACATATCGGATATTCGAACCCGGACCCGACCCGACATGGGTTGACCCGAAACAGGTGGTGCGCGAGCTAAAGCGCGATCGAGCGGGCGCGCAGGGAGCGTAAGCGGGCGCGCAGGAGAGCGCTAGCCGGAGCGCGGGTGAGTGCAAGTGGGCAGCGGGTGCGGGCGAGCGCATGGGCGGCAGCGGAGGGCCGCAGTGCTCGCGAGAGAGCGCTGGTGCTTCGCGGGCAGGCGGGGTTGCGTCGCGGGCAGGCGAGGTAGAGTCGCGGACAGGCGGGG